TGTTTCCAAATACCATCTAATCGAAAATAAAAGGATACTACTTTACTTATTAGCTTTTATGGGATGTATGCGTACCCCATAAACATAACAGATAAGTGGAAATGCCAAACAGAACTTTCGATATCAGCCATCCAACTTCTTTTGCCACTAATCAAACTTTTCTGGGAGTACTGGACAGCTGTTTTGTCCTAGTAACATGCTCTAAGATGCTATTTCTAATGAAAAGTCGTGATAGTTGGAGTAAACCAATTCAAAAGTGAAGACAAGTACCCAGTAGTGGCAAAAGGGTGAGGGCTGCGCTATATCTGTAATACATAGAAATAGGAAGATGTGGATCATTAAGGTTCCGAATCAGTGACTCAATGGTAACATGCTCGCCACGGAACCTGACGGTCTTGGGTTCAGTCTCTGACGGAGTGATGGGTGTGTACTGCTGATAAGTTCCATACTAGGACAGAATAGCTGTACGATACTCTTAAGTTTTCAAGGGTTCACCAAATGATGACAGTCTGTGATGAATACCATATTGAAAGAGATATTTCTTGACTATTAGCCTAAATCCTTTGACTACAAACCAATATACCAATTTTATAATAGTACTGAATACCAATCAAATGATTTTTATGTTAGCTAACACATTATGAATTTCGTCTTACTAGCAAGTGGGGAAATTTAAGTATACAGTGATAATTTATACATTCATTATATAGGATTGAAAGGAATAGTGACAATGTGGAGTAGGTTACTATTTGATGAAATGCACAAATAAATGACAAGAAAAGTGTATTGCAAAGTTGTCAAACATAAAGGATTATTGCAAAAGAATAAAAAGAGGAATGACTGTTGCTTGCACAGATGAGCAGTCTATGAATTTTATAATTTACTCAGAAAAAGTTGATGAGCAGAGTATTGAGAAAGATTAAATGAATTCCTTCTCAATAAAGTGATTAGGTTGACAATGATGAATTGTAGTGGCTTTTATTATGCGAAAAATACAAGTATACAGTTCTTTCTATGCACGAGATGCCATATTAAAAGTTACTGTAAAAGTCTTTTCGATGTTCATTTGATGACTAGTATCAGCCAGGTGAGTAACTGTGGAGTTTTTCATCGTTTTCATTTAACCTTCAGTCAATCATGATGAGTTATGCTCAGAAATTAAACGTTAAACAAAGTTAGCTGTACAACCAGTATTACTAATTAGCAACCATACAAGCTGCTCTGTGGTGGTGGACATCCTAGTCTGATGGCCACATTAAGAAATTATCGATCGAATTCCGTCAGCATTCAGGATCTGCTTGACTGGTTGACAAAATCAATGTAGAACCTCGCATACACGTACGTTGGCTCACGTTGCCATACTTCAGAGAAGTACATAAAGAACAGGTAGATAGAAAAAGATTGATATCGAAATTGAGAAAGTTGTGTGAGAGAATAAGCAGTTTGAAGATGCAGCTTAGTGCGATGATTGAAGCTTTACAAGACATCAAAGAGTGAATACCTCTGCATCATTTTGACCGACTTTCAGCCTGCCACCAAGAGTTCTCAGTCACTGATTACTCTCATCTCAAGTCCTCCAGCCAGGCGGTCTACGTCTCTCAATGTGGCTCAGACCAAACATCAGAGACTTCATAGACTATCGCCAGGTATTGGTCTGGAAACCCTGAACACTTTTTAAAACTAATCCGACTTCTTCTAGCATGGCACGTCAAGTTAGACAGTGGCTCGGTATGCGCAGTACATGTCCAAGCCTTGTCCGTCGACTAAGGTTCACAGTCTCATCAATCGACTTGCCTTTCTTGTCTAGTACCCTTCGCCTGACTTCAATATCGCTAACACGGTGATTCCGCCGAAAGCCAGCAATGCTACGAAGACATAGGTGATCAAAACCCTGGAACTGCTTCATGTCTTCTAATTTAAGTGGCTATGTCTCACAGCCATACAACAGGACAGAGTGGAATGCAGCGCAGTACACTCATCTTTTGATAGATAGTGGGATATCTCTCCAGTCCGTGCCACAGATGACGCAAGTTGACAAAGGTCACTTTAGCCTTTTGTATATAATCTTAGATTTCGCCAGCTAACAGCCTGTTTGGGTTGATGCAACTCCCCAATTTTTCATAGATAGGTTTTGTTATCGCCTATTTCTTGCGACTAGTAAGGGGCAGACATACATGACCCCATACTAGCGCGTGATCATAAACCAAACGGATACAACCAAAAGGGCGGAAATCCTCCACCCATCCTCTCCAACGATGGCTTATAGCAATGTGATCTATCTGAGTCCATCGTTAGTTTGATGTCGGCGGACTCAGCGTGAGACTGTCTGTCCTCATGCCTAAAGTTAGTGCTAGCCATAAACAAGTGAGTGTCACAACAAGATTGCAACAGACTGTCAGCGTTGCCGGTTCGTTGACATGGGATTATGTGATTACCCGCATGATGCATTTCTGAGTGACTCAACTTCCATACTTGAGGGTTAAAGTCACCTGCTATTATGACTACATCTGATCGTTTCGATCTCTGTAGCATAGGTAACGGATTTTCATAAAATTCATCCTTTGCATCATCCGATCTGCAGTCGGCGGGTATGTGGGCGGAAATTACGAATACGCATCGCCTAGTCTCACGATCCTTCTTAGTCCTTACAAATTCATTCAGTCGAACAGCACATAGACGGATGTTTACTAGAATCCAGTCAAGAAACGCACTTTATGCTCTACGACCCAATTTTATGCCTACATCAGTGAGACCACGGCAACTGGCCATTGCATCTCCAGATGCTCTTTAGGTGAATTTTGAAGATTCCCTGCTATGACCAGGTGAGGTCGATTTATTAATCACACTCGAGTCCTGTATACATGTGTCAGAGACAGTATGCATCCATAGTTAGAGATTACAGAGTTTTGGCGTGCGATGCTTACTGTTCGATTTGGTTTAGAGTTCAGACACTGAAAGCTCCTACATGGCAGACTGACTGGGGTGGGTTCTTGCGAGACTAGAAATGAGTTATCGATGGCTTTCAACGTTGACAATGGTTGGAAAATGAGAGATTGTGGGAGGCATAAGAGGTTTAACATTAATATCAGGAGGTGAAGGAGGAGGCGGAGTTGATGAGGATAAGTTATGTTTGATTGAATCTTGTACGCCACTGAAAGAGTGTGGGTGGTACACACTTCCCGACTGCCCACACCATGAAAGGCTATTTCTTCTTAAGTTACTTGAAAGAGAAAAAGATTTGTGTGACCTTACAGCCCATTGGATACCTACTCGGGGCCTGTCACACACAAACTTTTGTGGTATGTTGCTTTGAGGTTTGATTGTTCTAACGCCGGATAGAGGAAAGCCTATACCGCCGGCACCTGGAAACCGTGGTGCATGGCGTAGTGTGTTATTTTTGGGGCCGAACTTTTCTAACCCCACTCGTCAGTTCTTTTTGAAGAGGCAGCATCAGCGTGGCACTGCTAGTCATCCAAGGGAAACACCTAACTACTGTCACACCTCATCCAGCTATCAGCAGAATAACGTCGCCCTCAGACCCTCATTAAAATATAGTAATTCACACCAGAAACGTAACTGCTTTTCGTATTACCATTACCAAATCGACCTTTTTGGCATGGTGGGACCTAGAGGTCAAATGCGACTCACCAGCATAGCTCGTTGGGTCATTGTGATATGCAAGCCTGGTCATCACGTCAAGGTAGCAGCTATCGGTCGGTCCCAGTGAGTGATGTAGTTCTCAATAAGACTCGAATCCAGGACCGATCCCCTCAGACATCGGAGCGTTATCCACCAGGCTACTGAGTCATGATAGCCGGTGTTTATTCAATGGGTATAGTTTTGTTGTTATTGCCTGTAATCCCCCGTTGTTGAATGCAGCAAATCGATCGGTTTGTATTGGCAAACTGTTTCACTGTACTCATGACCCAATATTACCTCTAGCTTCAGCTTGGTAGTAATAATGAATAATGCCTAGCAGCGTGTCCTGGGTTCTTCTGCTAGCCACCGTACATCCGTACTATGAGACTGAAAACTGCAGGCAATATCGAGGAATCTGCTCAGAATCTCCTATGCTAACAGAGACCAATCAGTCAGATCCAATCGACGACGGGAAACTTCAAGCAATAACATTGTAGCAATGATAGTTTAAAATAACTGTTTGTATATAAACATATATCACGTTCGATAAAGCAATAAGAAGAAATAGCTGTGTTTGACCATATGGTTAGGAATGCACTACACGTTTCAGATAAACTACTTCTTATTGCTTAGTCGAAATATATGTGCGAATATATATATATATATATATATAAGCCAGTGGAAGTGTAGTGCCAGGCGCGCGTTTCATGCTATATGAAACTCGTCAACTGCATGTACTTCAGTACCAGGATTTTGGAATTTCCATTGAAACTTATAAAAAGAATTTATTGTTTCAGAGGCCAGGGTATTATTCCCTGGTTTATTATCTTGTAATAACGTGGCTAACAACAGATAAAGGATAGGTCTTTCCTCCTATCTGGGAATCACTAGGTGCACGTGATTACAGCCTAGCGTGTTCATTCCCTTAGGGACAGAGGAACTCAGTATCCATAATCTAACAGATACTGATCAGTACAGTTTTATAAACCAGCTAAAAGGAAAGATTAAAAATTCTAAAAAAAAACTAGAATGAGACGTGACTATTATAGAAAAGTGACTTGATAAACTGGTTCACTTTGTTTTTATCAAAAGGTGTAAAGTGCTTCTAAATAACCTACCTTCTTATGATATTTATGACTAATAGGATGTCAATTAACAGGGAAAAAAACCATAAACAAAAGCACAAAAAAAATATATTGTTATGAAATAAAATCATTGGGAATAATTTCATTCAATCAAATATAAGGTATGCAAATGCAAAATTTTCATGAAAGAGGATATTATCTGTCAGAAAAATGAAGATTTAATTAGTCGACAGAAAGGTGAATTTCAATACTTTCATCCATCATAACGATATATAGTTAGGAGTATACATGCTGACGTGCATGTTCTTCTAAAATCTATGAGTAGGATAAGATTTAAATGGGAAAAAAGGGGTTAAGAAAAGTTTAAAATGAAAATACTGTATTAAAACAAACAAAAAATAAAACGAATTCCATTGGTATACGTTTAATGGTCTACTGTAACGTATTCGAAACCTTATTAATAACACTGATCATGTTTACTTTCTTTCTCTTTCAGGGTGTAACACAACAAACGAGTTAGGAGAAGTGGAACAGCGAACACGTGAACTTAAGATTGACTAGGATGTACAAAAACTTTGTCTGGATCGAAAATTGTGTGGACACGCTGAGTTCAAGCTGTGACCCTAATAAAGACGATATTGCGTAATTCCTGTTCTTTTTCGGCCTACCTGAGTCTCCTGTGAGTCTGCGTGTCTGTAACGCAAAAGGATCATTACACTACTTAAGTGTGCTTGAAGTGAAAGATTGAGTATTCTAGGTAACATAAATCTAAGCAAGAAACGAAAGGAAACAAAGTAAATCAAATGATTACTCTAAAGTTTTATAAAAAATTTACACTCTTCGTGGATGTCTCATATAGTATTTTGTGATGATACAGTTAGCTATTCGTAGAAATAAAGCAGTCACCGATAAAATAGATTATTGCCTTTGCGTGATTTAAGTGGTACGACTCAGCAAAACCAACTAGTATACAACATCAGTGGGGACAGGAATACTTCCAATAGAAACCATGGTGAAATTAAAGCTTCTCAATGATAAACTAGTCAATAATTTCAAGAAAACTGAAGTTATTTTTGGAAGTGGGCAAAGTAAACTCTTCATTTTTACACAATCTTAAGGTGAATAGTATCTACTGCTTCAATTATTCGAGAAGCTGGAGATCACCAAACTATTCAGAAATAGTTCAATTTATTGAAAATTTTAAAGAAAATCCCATGGCTAAGTGCGTAGGTAATGGTTTCATGGAATGTGTTCAAAAATGAGGGGTGACTATTTCCTTAAATGTATTTAGGACGCCATAATTACACGTAAATAAACTAGTATCACTGTACACTATTTGCCTTCTGATAAACCTACTATCATCGTACTCAATTTTTCCTTCCTGAGGAGTTTAGCAATTTTAAAGGTTGAAATCTGAGTTATTATTATTATTTTACTTATTATTTGTCCCTTGGGTTCCTAGTAAGAATTAGGGCTTCAGTAAAACTTCGTCATTTCATTCTGTTCTCTGAAATCTTTAGAACCTGGCTCCATGACTGCACACAAGATCTCATCTCTTCCTTACAACATCTCCTCCACGTCATCTTCAGATGCCAAACTCATCGTTTCCCCTTTGCATTCCACTCGAGCCACTGGTCTGGCGCGCGATGTCCCCAGTCCGTCTTCTCAGTGTATGCCCAATCCAATCCATCTCCACTTCCTTCCATGCATATTTGTTGGGCGATGGATTCTTGGTTGGTTCGTTGCCAGCCAACCAGAGTTCCTTTTTGCTCATTCTTATTATTCTAGCCATCTGATCTTCAGTATAGAGTGAGTGTAGGCGGCAGCTGTTGGTGTGATATATGTCTGTAGTTTGTTGCAAATGCTTTCCGTAGCGCACCAAGTTTCTGAACCATATAGAGGCAGTGACTTGACGTTGGTGTTGGAAATCCGGATGTTGTTCATGCTTAATGCTGAGTGGGGTTTAGTAGATCTCCACACTGATTATTTCAGATTAATGAAGTCCAGTCTTGGTGTCTTTCTGATCCTGGTTTGACATCCTCATCCACAACGCCACCGCCGCCTGTTGTTTAAACGGTGTTCCTTCGGTAAATAGGTGAAAGAGATCATTTCCTTTAAGTTTCTCCTGTTAGTGGTGATTAGTGCTTGTTGTTGTTGCTTGGTTGACTGGGTATCTTCATCACCTGTGTCTTCCCTACCTTCACTTGAAGTCCCATCCACGCTGCCCTATTCCTTCTCTCAACTTGTTGGTTTTTCTTTGTAGATCTTCGAGTTTGTGCGATATTTGATATGAAGTTCAAGTCTTGTTGGGTCTTTAACCGGTCAAACATCGTATGCCTAGCTTCTCGTTCCTCATGGTTTGCCGCATGATCCACTCCAGTGCAGTCGACCACAATCAGGAATATCATGGGTGATAGTAGATAGCCTTGTTTCACTCCTTTCTGTCTTCACTTCAAAAGCATCGCCGAGCTTATCATTGTGCATTACTTGGCATGTGGCGTCCTCATATAGTTGTTGAAGGTTTGTGGTATTCCGTAGTCTTGAAGCAGTTGCTAAATTTATTCTCGCAGACGCTGTCGAAGGCCTTTTCAAAGTCGATGAAGTTGAGGTTGAGGTAGAGATTTGACTGGACGGCCATTCTATACTCTGTTCCATGATGATGCGTAGCGTAGCATTGCAAATTGCTATGCACATGATTTGTTCTTCCTGAATCCAGTCAGCCTGTTACGGTTGTAACTTTAAATCGAGAGCATCTTTTATTCTCGCTAGGATAATGTGGCTTGATATTTTGCTTCGGGTGGACAGGGACAGGAGCGTGATTTCACACCAGTCCTTGCAAAAACTAAGGTCTCCTTTCTTTGGAAGTTTGACTAAGTAGCCCTTCTTCCAATCGGCAGACATCTTTCCTTCTTTCCAAATCTTCTGAAGTAGTAGTGTGAGCATGTCCGCTGTTGTATCTGTGTCTGTCTCCAGTGCTTCTGAAGGAATTCCATCTGGTCCACCTGCTTTCCCGAATTTCAGCAGTTTTATGGCATTCAGGACTTCTGCTTTTGTTGGAGGGCTTGTGTTCACTGGTAGTTCTGCCGGTGGTGGTGGTATTTTGGACGAGTTGCAGGTGGTGGTCGATTCAAGAGTATTTTGAAGTGGTCAGTCCATTGGTTCTTTTGTTTCTCCTCTCTTTGGCGGTAACTGAGTTTTATTCACTATCTTTCATTGGATTTATCTGTGTTGATCTCTTCCCTCCCAGATAGTGAAATAGTGTTGTCAGGTCTTTGTCTCTCCTACCTGCAGCCTGTTCTATTTTACTTGCCAGTGTGTCGTAAAAGTGTGTTTTGCCTTTGCACGCACTCTTCTTCACTTCTTTGTCCAGTGTTTCATAGGTTGTGTTCAGTTCCTCTTTTCGTTGTTTGTCCTGCTCTGGCTTGTCTTTCGCTTCACTATCTTCCTCTCTTTCCTCTATCAGCTTCTATGTTTTCGTCCAGACCCATACCTTGTCTTGTTTCTTCTTCCTTCCTAATATGGTTATGCAGGTTTCTTTCCACATAGCTTTCAAAGAGTTGCGGTGTTCTTCCACTCAGGTCCCCTCAGGGATGTTGCTCAATATCTCCCATTTTGTCCTGATGGTTGACTGACGTGAAGATGTTCTTTGTAGTCTTGTCCTTCAGTTTATGTTCTGAGTGTTCAACTTGAACTGTGGTATATCACCAGCTTCTTTGAAGGCTTTCAACTTGATTTTGAAGGCAGGTTCCTTGCACTAGACAGTGAGTGGTGTGAACACATATCTGCTCCTCTTTTTCATCTGATCTTGTGTCCAGTAGACTGCGTCTCCACTTTCTTCAGATCTTTCTTCAGATCTGATTTTTAGTGTGGTGTGTTCATCTAGTGAAATCAAATCCATGTCGCTTTGTGAATATCCTTGTGTTTGTACACACTGCCTCCAATCACCAAATCGTTGAATGGGCAGAATTCTGCAAACAGTTCTCCATTCTCATTCATCATTTCACCGAGTGCTTCTCCACCCATGATAAATTTTCTTCCTATGTTGTCTGCTCAGAGTTTGGCATTCATGTCACCCATTAGAATTTTGATGTCGCCAACTGGGGTGGGGTCTTGTGCAGTACTGATTGCAATTGTCTGCAGAATTCCTCCTTCTTCTTTCGATACACATTATTTGTAGATGCGTAGCATCAGCATTGAATGATTGCGAATTTCCTTCCTTTTGATTTGAATCTGGTTGTCATGATCCTGGAGGAGATTGGTTCCCACTACATGAGAGTCTTCGATGCTGTCTGAGGCATCATGATAGCCACTCGAAAACTCGGTGTGCTTGTGATTGTCGTCTGGGTGAAAATATTGGAGTAGATTATTGACTCTCCAGTTGACAGTTCGGAGATTCCACTTCCATACCATCTACTTTCTCAGATTCCAAGAGCTTCTATGCCATACCTTCTCATCTCTTTAGTATTCTGGGCAGCCTTGCCAGCAAGCTAGCTTCAAACATTGTGTGGACATTCCATGTCCCCATTCTTACTTTCGCTTTTTTTAAGAGAGGGAATACACATCGGCCCGGCCAATCGGCTTCCTGAAGGCTTTCACCAACTGGCATCATTTCGCCTCTCCGATTCCAGCAGGAATAAGTTTAATTTTAATTTTTAAATATATTTTCTTACTACTTTGAAGTTTATTTAGCGGTTGGATTAGTTTTACGGGGTAGGGTTGCTAGCCATATGCCCAACCTTCCCTCTTTATCCGGGCTTAGGACTGGCTAGTAACTAGTGAACTAGTTACCTAGGCGAGGTAATAATAATAAATAATAATTTGAATATGATTTATACAGCTACTGAGTGTGTCTGTGTAGATCAGATTAACTGTTTATTGAGCTGGGTAAAGTGAATAACTTCACATCTCCTTTCACCTTCATATCAGCTTATATGTTAATTTCAAGAAACACTGATGCGTTGTTCGACATTAACAACGTGGCAGAGTTGTATACAGTAGACTGTTATGCAGAACGACACTAATGGATAATTCTTACTGACCGATTGTAATTAGCAAACTAAATGATATCACAGCGTTGTTAAAGTCAAATGTAAATACTTCTTTGGGAAAACTTTAAGATTTCAAAAATCCAAAGAACGAACAGCTTGTAAGAAGGTTTAAATACATTAGAAAACCCTCATACAACTCATACCTCTGAATTGAATTGTGAACTGTTCAATGGAAGACATAGATCACAAGAAGACCAGTTGCATCGAAATCCATCGATCGATTCACTCAAATAATGATCTCGTACAACATGATATACCAAATCACTTTTGTTTGTAAAACCAAGTGGACAAAAATCAATCTAAAATGTATAGAAAAGCATTTGCACAGAAGGTGTATAAGATTTCAGGTTGGTTATCATCATCTAACTGAGTGAGTCGATGGTAATGTGCTGGCTGTAGAACCTGAAGTTCCTGAATTCGAAACCTAGTGATAAGTCTCACGCTAGAACGAAACAGCTATCCAATACATTCAGTTTTCCATTGGTTCTCCAATTGATGGCAATCCTTGATGAGCACGAACTTGAAAGCAATTTTAAACGAAAGTATAACTAAGTCTCCATTTAAACTCAATACTGTATTTTATAAGCATTTTTCGCACTTGAATTACAAAAGTAGTCATAAATGACAACTAGGATGAATGCACATAGGCTGAATAATGCAGAGATTTTCTACTGTTCTTCGGAGGAAAAGACCTTATAGTTTTCTGAATGTTTCAGTGGCAAGTGGATAATATTTTAGGTTAGTTCCATTGGTGGTCATAAAATCTGTTTGCATAAATTTAACTGAGAAGACGAAATGAGAAGTTCACCCAAATGTGTATAGAAGGTTACCCACGAAATGTGACGTTGAATAGTGTTAAGGTTTGAAAACTGATTAGTGACAAATGATGATGTAACCGTTACTCAACCTAACTGATAAGAGGAAAACGGAAGTTTACAACCATCCCTTTCACACATATACCACCTTCCTTGTCACAAGGACAGTGACATAATCAAGAGGTTTAGGTTTTCATATATGCACAGATGGTGATTTACATGCATACATACATACAGTGAAGTTACAGCCCTTTAAAGTAGTTCAACTTAGCCTTATGAGTTTATATGAGAGATAAGCAAATAGGAGCTAAGCCACCTAACTTCTCAGGACGTTCACAGATGATGTTACTGTGATGTGGTCACCTCTCACTAGCCGAACCATATAGGGTTTGGTAAAGCGCATAAGGAGAATCCACTTACAACATTCCAATCTAATAAGCTCCATAGAATTAAGTGAAGTGAAACATGCACATAAAAGTGGATATGAGCGGTAAACTATCGCTCACACTATTCCAACAGTCACCGACTCAAGACCATCAAAAAATTGGAGTAAAATTTAATATATGTTAAATACGCTTAGATAGTCTATGAAATCAACATCCTGGCTGATACACTCCATAATGTTGAACAATTTATACCTAAAAAATAAAGATTATGGAACTATGAGTTTTCGACTGAAAGACCCCTGGAGAAAATCGTCACCACTTCTCATCAACATTTATAGGAAAGTAAGCAAGAAATCTGATTCTCCATCAAGTGTGAAGCTCATATATCAGTGAAAACTACTGAACCATTTGGCAAGTTCATCAGTTGACAAGTTTTCATTGATAAAAAGAAAATTATCACTCATGAATCTTCTGTAAAAATAATGTTCTTAGGTAAAAACCAAATCTTACATTTGACCGATAGACTGAAAAGAATAAGCAGACAAATCAACATAGAATATTACAGAGAAATGCTTCAGTTAAAGTTACTTTACTTCACAATAGCATGCAAAGAAGAAATGGGTGGTATTAGTGATGCTATGGTTAACAATTTTGTATAAGAGGAGACAGAATAAACAGATGGAGGTGAATAAAATATTCAAGATAGTGATAAAGAGTACGTTCATGTATGCTGCTGTGATTAATTTTGTACCATATCGTCATCAGTCTCCAATCAGTGATTCCTATCTCGATGGCTAGACTATTCGACAGCATCTTTATGTGTAATTCATTAACTATTAAGGAAACAGTGAGAAATTTAGAGAATAAGGACGGAACTTTGGAATATGTTGAAGTCATTATATAAACATCCTACACGTGCATTAGGTGATGTTAAATGTGGTTCAATTGCTTCAAAACTTTTCAACAGCTTACCTTTTAAACCTTAAATTCGAACAGAAAATGTACTTATCAACAAATTATTATTATTATTTTTCCCTTTGGTTCCCAGTGGAACATACGGCTTCAGTAGCATACCTCCATTTCACTCTGTTTTCTGCAGTCTTTTGAACCTGGCTCCATGACTGCACACAAGATCTCATCTCTTCCTTACACCATCTCCTCCACGTCATCTTCAGATGCCAAACTCATCGTTTCCCCTTTGCATTCCACTCGAGCCACTGGTCTGGCGCGTGATGTCCCCAGTCCGTCTTCTCAGTGTATGCCCAATCCAATCCATCTCCACTTCCTTCCCATGCATATTTGTTGGGCGATGGATTCTTGGTTGGTTCGTTGCCAGCCAACCAGAGTTCCTTTTTGCTCATTCTTATTATTCTAGCCATCTGATCTTCAGTATAGAGTGAGTGTAGGCGGCAGCTGTTGGTGTGATATATGTCTATAGTTTGTTGCAAATGCTTTCCGTAGCGCACCAAGTTTCTGAACCATATAGAGGCAGTGACTTGACGTTGGTGTTGGAAATCCGGATGTTGTTCATGCTTAATGCTGAGTGGGGTTTAGTAGATCTCCACACTGATTATTTCAGATTAATGAAGTCCAGTCTTGGTGTCTTTCTGATCCTGGTTTTGACATCCTCATCTGAGCTGCCTGTAGTTGAAACGATGCTACCTCACCAGGTAGGTGAAACAGACCACTTCTTTTAGGTTTCTCTCGTTAATGGTGATTAGTGCCTCTTGTTGTTGTTGTTGTTTGAGCATCATCACTATCTTTGTCCTCTGTACGTTCACTTGATGCCCCGTTTTCTCTGCCCTGCCTCTTCTGTCAACTTGTTGGTTTTCGCCCATAGATGTTCGGGTTTGTGCGACAATAAACAAAAATCATCATTGGCGAAATCCAAATCTTCTAGGGTCTTTTCATTGATCCAGCTATCGTATACCCATGTTCTCGCTGCTCACAATTTGCTGCATGATCCAGTCGACCACAATCAGGTAGATCATGGGTGATAGGACGTGGCAGCCTTGTTTTACTTCTGTCTTCTTTTCAAAGGCATCACTGAGTTTTTCATTGTGGATTACTTGGCATGTAGTGTCAACAAATATTCCCTCGATTTAAGGAAATCGTAATCTAGATACATTAATTGAATTTACAGTGTAGTAGTTCAACGGTCGATGATTAAGATAAATATGCTTAATTAACAAAATAAAGCGATTATCTTCATTAATAGTAGCTAAGTTACCATACAGCTGAAACAAGATTCAGGAACCAGTGTGATATGAACTTCACCATTCTCCAAGGCAGTTGCAATCTATCATAATAAAAAAAACAACAACAACAATAATCAGAGGGAATTATTTCGATAGTAATTTATTTATGTAGTCAGTTTTCCAAATATTTTGGGTTTTTAATGGTTAAATTTATCAGTACTTTTTCAACTCTTATCCGCATATCTCCTACCTTACTGTATTATTCTTGTTTACTTTGATATTATAATAGTGCTATTTATCTGCTGTATCTATCTTGTGTTTTGAAGTGTATCATCCATGAAGTCAGTCATAAAACAACAGAAATCGACGTTTCCATTACGATGAGTTTTTACAATTACTTTTCATTGACAAATTATTTACCCAATGTTCACTTTATTTAATCCAATCCAATTAAATTTTAATTCTTATATCTATAAAGTATATTTCAAACCATCAAATTTAGGCTAGTTTATTAGATATATCACACAGTGAGACAGTATTATTATTTACAAAATTACTTTTCGAATTTCATTTATTGTCCATTGTAATATCTCCATTACTCCACAACATTAAAACTATGGTTTCTGTCTCCTTGTTTATGGTATGGGTGAGAGAGTTTACCATATATCTGGGACAAGTGCACCCAACGAATATGCAGAAGAAAGTGGAGATGGATTGGGAATACACTGAGAAGGCCGACTGGGGATATCATATGCCAGGCTCTCAAGTGGAATCCAAAGGGGAAACAACGAGTTGGGTGTTGGTACCGAAGGTGACATGGAGGAGATCATGTGAAGAAGAAATGAAAGCTTATGGGCAGTCGTGGAGCGAGATTCAAGAGACTGCAAAGATGAAAGTGTAATGAAGGCGTGCTGCTGAAGCCCTATGTTCCACTAGGAACCCAAGGGAAAAAATAAATAATAATAATGAACAAGTGCTGAGTTATTCTAATCACAAGTACTTGGTGTTGATTCTATAAAAAGGACTTAGATATCAATCTGACATTTCGTCCAGTTAATTTGGTTTTAAAAAATGATGTCTCATCCTATCACGTGGTGGGATGTAATTGAATGCACAGCTATATTAGGCCTTTTTCTATATTTCATATGTTATTGGGATCTACGGGTTTTGACTTAGCCAACTTTATGTACTGCAACAACCTAACTGACCCTGGTAGACTACTTTAGGTGTAAATGCTACTGTAGTCCCAACCTTACTGAGAATTCTCTATAACATTTGCGAGATGCCTTCTTTGTATGTATGGTGACACCATACTGACTTTGGATATTTTTTCACCCAACCTAATTAGTAATAATAATAATTACTTTATTTCAAACAATATGTATGACAGTGTGGAATTCTCAGCATATATTTTTTCAACTAATTCACTCCCAGAACAATACTTTCAGACGAAATGCTTACTGCATCTACATTATGTTAATAATAACAGTATTCAAGGCAATGATGTGAAACAGTCAGCTGGTTCTGGATGGGCGCCCTGTCCATAATGAAGAATCAACAGAAATGCAAGCATAAGTTTGGTGGTGGTGGTGGTTCATCCAACTGGCACAAAAATCTGAAACTCAAGCTAAGCATCAATGGATGGAAATATGATGTACTTTTTTGCACCAAAAATTCCATTTCCACATGACGTAACACTTTTTCCTCTGCTTTTGTTATCGTATCGAGAAATGGATAGTTGGAAGCAGTTTAAAAATGTTGAAGAGTACATGATACATTCATAGGACATATATAAATGATTAAAACAAATTGAAAAGAAAGAATTTGATGGAAAATGTTCAATAGATAAATTTGATAGCTCAAGATTCGAGTAGGCTGCCGTCAGTTTTACTGCCTAATGAATATGTACTAAATTTCTCCCATAAAGTGCTAGTAAACTATGATATTTCCTAAATCCTTTTAGTGCAAAATGAACTATAATGGCAAGATAATCGGTTGCTGACATATTCATTCAGGTTATATCGTTAGCGGAAATTTTATTTGTTCGAATATCACTGCATTCGTTCCACCTTGGAAGAGCCTAAACTGCTTAGCATAGAACTTATCCGTGGGCAATTATCTACAATTAGATATTTAATGTAAATGAAGGCTTTAAAAAAACAGTAAACTGTCAGCAAGTTTTGGGAAAACAGTTACTATCCAATATAATTTAAAGATATTTCAAAAAACGCACATTTTTATAAGATACACTCATCTTATTTTGAATGGTGCATAAAGGAAATTTTTAAATGTAATTAAGAGAGTAAAATATTGACTTACTATAGGCGCTATACCCAAACCTGATGCAACTGTTGTTATTCGAGAATCTGTTGGTCCAATAGCGCACACTAATAAACACGCTCGACCTTTAGCGTCTAACCGACGTTGACTTTCAAATGGAGATATTTCTAATAGACGATTTTTATTCACACATAGCCAATTGCGTCTGTGTTGGACTTTATTTAGATCAGCTGGTTGTGGCCATGAAGATGATAAGCATTCAATTGGATTCATAAATGAAGGCAATTTGAATTTGGAGAGTATATCAAAAGTCTTTTTTATATTTTAGTTTATTTACCAAGATAAAGAAACAACAGAAGAAATACATAATGAAATAGACATCACATTCTAAGGTATTATGTATGCAACTTGAGATGTAGTAAAATTTATGAAAAACCGTTTGCAGTGGTAATAATTGTCAGTATGCTTTATTGATGTAAGTTATAAGAAAAGAAAAAAAAACGGTTGGAGCTAAGAAAAATGTTTCTTTGTTGCAACCGCCTTTAGTCTTTGCATATGGCGTAGGGTAGGATAAAGCCACTGTCAAATATAATCAGTGGAGAGGGAGATTGATCACTGAATCTTTGTTCATCGAATCAACACTCAGCACGTGTAATAGAAATGACGCAACATCAATACCAGAGATATGGAAAATTTTGCCACCAATAAGAACAACTCATATAAAGTGACGTAACTATGGAAATCAAATGTCGAAAGTAGTGTGATTATTTTGATGTGATGATTATGAGCGACGATAATTTATTCTCGAAACGTTATCAAGTGAATAATACTAGATCGCTGTGTGTTATAAATCAAATAAACAAATCTAATACGGAATTAATTCCTACCACAGTGCCTAAGTCTTATACCTATAAGGTGGCTAAGTTTGGCAGACTGATGAAGTTATTTGAAATTAGTTTCAATCACGAAAATCGTATATCAATAGTGTGATTCTAAGTAGCGTAGTGTTTCCTTAGCAGTGAATATAGGAGGCGGCCTGCTTGAACTCTGGGCCACCGTTTTCTATCATCGAGTATATTGCATCAAATTTCTTATTTCTATATTGTTTTAATCGTTTAATTATGTCAACCAATCGTATTGTATATTCTCGCGCGTTTTTAAAATCATTACAACCTATCGCTTCGCAAGTTGATAGGAAATTTAAGAAGCAGCACGGTGGATGGCAACGAGCTCTGAAGCGTATGACCATAGATCAAATGACTATTCCGGAAATACTTAGCACAAACTGCAGGTCGTTGCCGAATAAAGTTGATTACCTTCAGTCACTCTTGTCCACAAATGTTTATCGAAACACGGGTGTAATAATGCTGCAGGAAACATGGCTTCATAATCTGTATGATGATGACTTAGTCTGCTTAGATGGTTTCAAATTATTTCGACAAGATCGAAGCTTTTCGAAGAAGAAATGTGGTGGTGGTGTAGCAACATTTATTAGTACTAACTGGTCGTCCTCCAACTATGTATGCTTCTGCTTCTCTAACGAAAAAATTGAGTGCATTACCATCAAATGTCGTCCCAAACATTTGAGCAAATACAAATACATATATATCACAAACATGTATGTCACACCTGACTGCAGTTTCTCAGATTTGTCAACTTTTGCTGATAAATTCACTGAATTTGCTGCTCCGGTTCTGGGAAACTCCTTGTCTATTGTCTGTGGTGATTTTAACTCATGTGACTACAGTTTTCTATTATCATTGGGTCATAAAAATATGGTTAACTTTTCCACTCGTCTTGACAACACTCTAGACTTTGCATTTACAAATGAACCTGGCATATATGAAGCCCGTAAACGGGCTCCACTGCTAAATTCCGACCACTGTATCGTTCGTGTTTTGCCTAAAGTGTACGGAAAATTATACAAGAAAGCTTTTGCATACCTTTCAAGGAAAGTTCAATACAGATGCTATTCACAAGAAAATATATTACGTTTGAGAAGCATGCTTATAGAAACGGACTGGGATATATTTGCTGATGAAGTTTTAGACAACACTATTACCAATATCACAAGCTATCTCAGATTCTGTCTCGATATCTGCTGCCCTACTGAAACAATTTACATGAGATTTGACAGACTTTCCTCTCCTCATCTCAAGAGGCTTCGGAGAGAAAAGGAAAGGTTGTATAAGGCGAGAGATCACCCTGGCGTTAAAAGGCTTAACTGCCTAATTAAGTCTGAATACTATATACAACAGAAGTTCTTATCGTGTAAGAACTCTTCCAATATATGGAAATTATTTAAAGAGCTTACTGGTAAAAAACAGATGACAAAACAAACTCGTTCGGATGTCTGCGCGTTAAACAAGTCATTTATACGTCGGCAAGCTAATTTCACCCTTCCTAATGTGCAAAATCAAGTGGATAGCTGCTTTCCAGGTTTCAATACAAATGATGTATTTAAATGTCTAAAGTCTTTGAATCCCTCCCAAAGCTTAGGTCCTGATGGTGTTTCTAGTATCATATTTAGAAAATGTGCAGATATTTTACAGATATCTTCAATGTATCGTTCTCTAAAAACATAATACCCACTGCTTGGAAGCAGATAAAAATTGTACCTGTGCCTAAGCCATCTTCTGGATCAGATGTTACTTTTCGACCCATCGCTATAACTTCCCCTTTTCTGAAGACAATGGAGAAATTACTTCTGCTTGTGATTGAGCCTTCATTGATGGCCTTCAGAGATCCAAAACAGTTTGCTTACAAACACCGGAGGAGTACTTTAGATGCAGCTACTGTCTTGCATCATAATATTGTTTCTAGTCTCGACAAAGGTGTTAAGTATGTCCGTTGTGCCTTTTTGGATTACTCATCAGCCTTTGACTCTGTTCCTAGACCACTTTTGTTAAATAAGCTTGCCATAGCTCACACTGATCCATGGGTTACAAAATGGCTGCATTCTTATTTTTCTGAAAGGAAACAGTACACTATTCATAAAGGGATGCGCTCACTTCATTGCTTACTGAAGCTGGTGTGCCTCAAGGTGCTGTACTTTCTCCTTTTCTGTTTTCCTTTTTTTGCACGATTTGCCTTATTCTGTTGAAACTAATTTTATCAAGTATGCTGACGACCTGACGATTTCTATTCCAGTAAACTCTTCTTTGGATTGCTCGAAATTAAATGAATTCTTGTCTGAAGTTGGTAAATGGTCTCTCTCAAATGGTCTCAAACTAAACCCTTCTAAATGTCAGACCGTTAATTTTAGCCTCAGGCGTAAACAAGACTTATGTGAGCTGCTTAAATCTCATGACGCCTGCTGCATCAATGGTATTTCTGCAGAAAGTAAATCGAGTGTGAACTATCTTGGGTTGCGTTTTACTTCTGACCTTTGTTGGTCGTCCCATATTTTATTGACTTGTAAAAAAATCTTTCGTTTAACTTATTACGTAAAGAAATTGAGGCTTTCTGGTATAACTCAACTGCTTCTTTTACAATTTATTAATTCCTGCATTTTACCTATTCTTCTATATTGTTCCCCATTAATCTTTCCTGGTCTTCTTAAAAAGGACTATGTTATGTTGCGTAGGGCTTTGAAGACCGTCAGCAGGGTGAGTGGTGTGTCTCTGGCTCAACTGATTAACACTGTAGTTGATCGACATATAAATTCCTGCAAGCTACTAGCTACAGAAATTTTAACTGACAGCTCTCTCCATGTATCTCCTCAGGGAGGACAAGGAGAAACTACATAAGACTGTATGCTCGTACAGCTAAGTATAAGAATTCGACTGTACCTTACCTTGCACGTATATTTTGTGAGGAAAAAAGTGTTAGAACAGAAATCACACATCAACTTTGTGACAGTTAAAAATCTCATTTCAATAATTTAACTTACAATGCAAAATTTTCTCGTTTTTAATATTCTTCACATAACTTAAATTTTTATAATAAAACAATTCAAAGGCTGCAAAGTAGTATGTATATACTTATATTTTGTTGTTATTGCAATATATCTTACGCTGAGAATTCCAAATTGTACCACAAATTATTTGGAATAAAGTGAATTATTATTATGATTATTATGATAATTGATAAAAACTTCATCAAACTCGATAGTCAGTTGTTTACGATAACATATATCAAACGTTAGAGAACACCAAACCGTATTCATCCTGAGCTATAACTATTTCTTATCATTTTGGAATTAATTTATGCAGGCAAGTGTAAAATTCCACTACTAACAAGTATGGGTAAAATATAATTTAGTCCGAGTTTGTGCTTTTAAAAACCTTACTACTCAAAGAATGTTAATTAGTTCATGTGATGTATTGAAAATTTATATAATTTTGTGATTCCGCATTGCAGTGTTGAGTAACCTCACGTTGTCTATTCCTATGTGCTGACCAACTTCTGTTGACTACTTTGGAAATTTGTCATCGTGGTGCAATTTAGTCGATGTAAGTATTGGGCGGAGATGATCGGTAGGAAGCTCTAGATTTACTTTTCATGCATTCTGCATCGGAAACTTTACGGTAACTGATATGTTTACAGATGTTCGAACCTGTGTCATCCACTGCTGCTGCTGCTGCTAGAATAGCTTCGAATTCCATGCAGTGGACGGACTGTATTTGTGAACTAAGATCTGCTCAGTTAGGGTTATGCGAACGCAGTGTTTTGGTCTATATAGATGAAATTACAATATTGAATAGCCAGTGTGTAGACCACTGTAACTCCCGACTACAGTTTTTTTCCAAAATCATTGACAAGAAAGGCTATTAAGACAACATACCTAATTAAATAGGAAATACTAATAGTGGTATCGGGTTAGAAACACAATATGCTTGATAGTAACAGAGATAAATAATGGTAAGCTTACATGTAAACTAAGCCAAAATACTTCACTGGTAAAACAAATACAAAGACTACCAGAGCATCCACTTTCAGCAACTGATATATCGATTAAATTACCATTTGGATCGTTTGAGAGGATTTTGTTATATGAAACTGTATTGCACAACCCTTTGGATTTACATAGCCAACTGGTCAAACGAATAATTTTTCTTCTTGTACATTCATATGAAGCTGTAATCAAGTTAAATTCATTTTTGTTGACATGATTTGACAAAAATCCTGTTGATGATAACAAGTGGCTGTTAATCTTATTCATGTAAGTTTTTGAATCCCCACTGGTTGGCGACGTAGATTATCTTGAATATAGATGCAATACTTGAAATTAACAGGTTCTCCTTTTCGTGATATCTAAATGGTCATCAGATTTAAATATTTTTTGAATAAAAATTTTAACAATACCACTTAACTACTTTAAAATACTGAGTAGTTCGAAATGCTTTTTGAAAAAATTACAGTAAGTCAGATGCCACGTAATGTGACGAGAATTATCTTTTATTGAATTTCTCCGAAATATATTGACATTCATTTGACTGCATAGATAAAACATGCATGATGAATTTATACCCAAAATCTGAAGTAATTCCCCAGAACATTTTAGTGGTGTTTCAGAGAAGTCATATTACACATTTATGTATGGACAAAGGGGTTTAAGTACATACATTCACGTTAGTAAATTTTAAAGGACCGAAAAGGTTTAAGCTGTTCAATCACAGTCACCTTCGTTAAACTGGTCAGGCGGTCTAAAACCAACACTGTGCAAAAGTGGAGCTCACTTACAGACTCTTCAGTAGAAGAGTTTTTCCAACTGACTCTGGTGACTAGACTACATGTTACATAAACCTAACCATTGTTTACCTAAAACTGTAATGTTGGCTGAAGTAGTCTTGGGCTGTATATAGGTTAACTATGACCAAATTAAGGCGTGACATCAATGCATGAGATCCCTAGCTATTGGTCTGAGTCGTGTGAAAAGATAAGAACTTCAAGGTTAGGGTCAACCAAGTCTGATGGCCTGAAATTCTAGGCTATAAGGTTCGAAATCGATCTCTTTGATAGCTCATATCGTTACACAGTTTCTGTAATGATTATGACTGATTGGTTCTCTAACTACATCTAAAATTACGGAATATGAACACTAACAAGCAACTAATCAACTGCCATTTAATTTCATCGACAACAATCTCATGATACGATTCAGTGTAGGTGAACCTCAGCGATGAACTGTTTTGGTATATACGCTGAAAGTCCATTCCAGATGATATGGACTATGCAATTTCTTTAGTTGATGACCACTTGTGAATAAGCAGTAAACGAACAACTATGTACGCAAGTAATTGACAACTTGTTGGTATAAAATTTGAGCAGCATAAAATAAGTATAATACGAAATTTTGGATATCATCAGGTTTGATTCTTGACTATTGCGCCTAGATGATTTACATCAGTTCATTGCTCACGAGAATAAACTTGATAAACAAGGAAAGCTTCAAATTTACTGCGTTTCAATTCCATAGAACTCATTCCTTAGAAATAATTATTCTCTTACTTCTCTGTGGCTACAAATGTCATATAAGAAAAATTCATCAAAAAACTTATAGTATTAGGGAAAAGACAAAGAAGAAGGGGAAAGAGGAGTGGGAGAAAAGGATGAGAATAAAAAGTTGAAAAGAATAATGGGAGAACAAAGAGTAGAAGAAAATGAAGCGAGGGGGTGAGAAGAAGGATTTGGTGACTGAAAAAATTCAGCAAAAAGACTGAATATCAGTCATAGCGCATACATTTGTTATTACTCTGTTTCGCCTATGATTCCAAATATATTGTTATTCATGGGATGTTATTTTCGCCCTAATTTCAGCTGAATATTTATTTCACCTGCCCCCAATGTTTTCAGGTCAATAAGTGACACAAGAACATCTAACCATTTAAAGTCTGAAAACACGTTCATACTAACGCAGACATGGAATTTTTACACAGAAGTAGATCAGTTTCAGTCAACTTACCTATTCGAAGCAAAAAGAGGTGGCTATCGTACCCCAGTGGTTTAGTAGATAACGCTTTAGCGTTGAAGCCATGGGTGCTAGTTCACAGTCTCAGTGGGAACAACACCCACTTATCGGGGTTCAAGTACATACAGGTGACGAGTCCCAAGTAAGATGAAGCGTGTATCCTGAATTTTACTGCTGGTCACTAGATGAATATAAACTCATGCATTTATAAAACCTCTTGTTGCTTGACTTCATATACATATACATACAATCAACTTACTTCTTTGAAAATGTTTGTTCCAGTTTCTAATGTTTCACCAAATAGGATAGATTCACTTGCATTAAAATTTTTAGACGAATTCATCACTTTCCACTGAGATATAGTTAATAAACCAGAATTTTCAATGCTTAGTATAGCTTGAGGTAAATATGTATTTATTTTACCTTGACAAGGAACTAAACTTGCACAATATATATCAGATTCCAAGGAGATTTTTCCAGCCATATTCTCACTCTGTAATTTATATAAAGAGATACAAAGTTAGAAATACGAATTAATGAGTGAAGCCTTATATATATGTGTACGATACATAAAGTCGATTTGGATGTTGATCAACACTCACTACTAACTTGTAGTGCTGTGGTTCACTGGCCTATGTAATTATTTTTGAAATATCTCCCCACCTACTGAATTCGGGATTACTAAGTAGTATCTCTAGCTGTCATACAAAATGTCTCATCGCCTACTGTATGAACGTAGATTAGGTTAGTGGGTGTATTCCCATTCGTGTTTTGTATTTATCAAATTTGAATTTTGAGGGAGTTGTGGGGATTTGGAAATATTTCAAATTGTTATTCATCGTAGACTGACATCAGTTGGAGGAACAAAGGAAACCTGCTAGCACTGGACAGCTGTTTTGTCCTAGTATGGGACTCCTCAGCAGTGAGAAGTCGTGACCGGTGGGGGCAAAGCCTGCTGGTCGTGGGGACAGTTACTCAACGATGACACTGGGTTGCGGTCGTGCTACATCGTCAGCTAACAGAAGTTGGAAATATGAACCATTGGATTGTGACAGAGCGGCTCAACAGTAGCGTGCCAGCCACGGGTGCCTGAAGGCCGTGGGTTCGATCCCTGGTGGGGTCGTGGGTGCGCACTGCTGAGGAGTCCCACACAAGTGGGACGAACACAGCTGTCCAGTGCTCTCAGGTTTATCAAATTTAGCAATAAAGTGTGCGGAATAGTTGGTTACAAAACGTCTTTCAACAGCATCAGCACGAGGTTGCTATTCATAAACGCTGTATACAAGTCCTGTTGCATACATTTAGTAGTCACAGCTAAGAATATAATTCATCTATCAAAAAAATGTTGTTTCTGAATTTGTCTCACTCAAATCAAAGGTCCGTAAATTATTGGATAATTTTTCAGCATTACTGCAACGGTTCTGCTTACCTTCTATCCTATCTAGTGACAATGATGCTATTTTTAGAAACCTATTTTCGGAAACATAAAAGATGTTGTGTGATTCAATTCCACTGCCAGTACTTCAAAGCTCTATTGAATAATTAATCATATTCATGTAGAATGCAACACCGACCAGTAGAATATGTAGTCTGTGGATTGCTCAATTTGTAAGTAGATATAAAACATAATATTACGTGACTGAATTCGGTGGAGGCTTATTTTCTACACTAATTGAGTGACAGCTTATAGTCCTGCCAGGTAAGGAGACCAAGATTCCAACCCGGAGCGAATTGGACAGAAGTTGAATGTTTTAGGCTTGGAGGCATGATATCAATGTAAGTCATAAAATAGTGACTATAAATACAATTGTACAGCTTCGGTAAATGGTATTGTTAAAAGGGAAAACATTTTGCTAGATTATATGCTGTCTTCTTCATCACTTAATAAGCCTTTTTATCTAAACAAAAAATCGTTAACAGTAAGGAACCTATCAGAGACCCTGACTTATATTTCATTATTTCACAGTTCCTATCATTCCTGCTTATAAATATTATTAATTAGATTGTTTTTTTTTGGCTTTACTACAAGATGCAAAGAATTAAATAGATATACTTTTGTGTAAGAGTCCCATGTTCTTGTCTATTTGTTCACTTGAAACATTCTGCTTTCTATGCACAAACAAGGTTATTCTCTACATTCAAGATCACTTGTGACTTCTTTTACCACTATGATATTATTTTTAAGCGAAAAAAAAGGATGATAGATATTTAACAGAAAGATTACGATAAAAAAAATTGTGAAAGAAATTATTCCATCAGTCATGTGCTATCTTCTCCTAGATGATTTCAATGACAATTCCATTTTTAAGCGTCTAATTGTTAAGAGGAATCAGATATTTTATTGTCCTAACAATTCTTCAACATTCAGAAAAATTTCTAATTAACTAAATTTGTCAGATGTCTGTCTACCTAGCTAAAAGGCGTTATGAAATGGTGGTAGAAAGGATTTTTTTGAATAGGTAGAGCTTTCTAAATTCTCTCTGATATAAATATTTACAATTGATGTCATTATTGCTTTGTACAAATTTAGTTGCATTGAAAATTTGTAGTTTTAAGTGAAATTTACAATTTTGTACACTTCAGTGCAAATATCTATTATAAAGTATTTATTATTATTTGTCCCTTGGGTTCCTAGTGGAAAATACGGCTTCTGTAGCACCTCACCATCCCACTCTGCACTCTCTCTGCCACCTTTTGAACCTGTCATCACCACTACCCACAAGCTTTTATTTCTTCCACACACCATCTCCTCCACGTCACCGTCACCTCAAACGTCCAACTCGTCGTTTCCCATCTAGGTTCGACTTGAGGGACTGGCCTGGCTCATGATGCCCCCGAACGATCTTCTCAGTGAATACCCAATCCATCTCCACTTCCTTCTGCATATTTGTAGAGCGACAGGTTGTCGTTTGGTTCGTTCCTAGAGTTCCTAATTCCTTGCTTATTCTTTCTGGAAATCTGAGCTTCAGTAACCAGCGGAGGCAGTTGTTGATGCATATCTCTAGTTTGTTGGAAATGCTTTTTGTGACGCGTCAGGTCTCTGAACCACATAGAGGCACCAACTTGACACTGGTGTTGAATATCCGGATGTTCTTCTTTGTGCTGAGTGCAGTGCAGAGGATCTCCACACTGGATTCAGATTGATGAACACCTGTCTTGCTTTTCCGATTCTGGCTTTGATATCGTCATTTGTGCCACCTAAATTCGAAACGATGCTGCACAGCTAGGTAGGTGAGAGAGACTACTTCCTTAAGAATTTCTACCGTTCATGGTGATCGTTGCTTGTTGTTGTTGGTGGTGGTGGCGTTGGTTGAGTATCTTCATCACCTCTGTCTTCTCTAAATTCACTTGAAGTCCCGTCCTCGCTGCCCTGCCACTTCTGTCAACTTGTTAGTTTTCGCCTGTAGACCTTCGAGTTTGTGCGACAAGACATTAGACATAACTCATCTGTGAAATCCAAATGTTTTAAGATTTTTTCCCCTGGTCCAACGTAACCCCGTCTTCTCGTTCCTCACAGTTTGTTGCATGATCCAGTCCAGTGCAGTCGACAACAAACAGGAATATCATGGGTGATAGTAGAAAGCCTTGTCTCACTCCTTTCTGTCTTCACTTCAAAGGCATCACTGAGCTTCCCATTGTGAATTACTTGCCATGTGGCGTCCTCATATAGTTGTTGAATGAGGTTGATGAAGGTTTGTGGTACTCCATAGTCTTGAAGCAGTTGCCAAATTTATTCTCGTAGACGCTATCGAAGACCTTTTTAAAGTCGATGAAGTTGAGGTTGAGGTAGAGAGTTGACTGCCATTCTATACTCTGTTCCATGATGATGCTTTTTTTTTTTACACCTGTATTAAGTCGAGAGCATCTTTTATTCTCGCTAGGATGATGTTGCTTGATATTTTGCTTCGGGTGGACAGGGACAGCAGCATGATTCCACACCAGTCCTAGCAAAAACTAAGGTCTCCTTTCCATATTAGATTTGTTTATTTGACATAAAGCGCACAGTGATACAGTATTATTTACTTGATTACGTTTCGATCAAGTAAATAATACTGTATCACTGTGCGCTTTATATCAAATAAACAAATCTAATATGGAACTACATTCTACCACAGTGCCCAAGTTTTTCACTTATATTAAGGTCTCCTTTCTTTGGAAGTTTGACTGGGTAGCCCTTCTTCCAATCAGCAGACATCTTTCCTTCCTTCCAAACCTTCTGCAGTAGTGGTGTGAGCATGTCTGCTGTTGTATCTGTGTCTGTCTCCAGTGCTTCTGAAGGAATTCCATCTGGTCCACCTGCTTTCCCGAATTTCAGCAGTTTTATGGCATTCAGGACTTCTGCTTTTGTTGAAGGGCCTGTATTTACTGGTAGTTCTGCCGTGGTGGTGGTATTTCTGGACGAGTTGCAGGTGGTGGTCGATTCAAGAGTATTTTGAAGTGGTCAGTCCATTGGTTCCTTTGTTTCTCCTCTTTGGTAATTAGATTTCCTTCGTCATCTTTTGTTGGTTTCATCTGTGTTGATCTCTTCCCTTCCAGATGGTAAGTAACCTGGTTATTTGGTACAATGTTGTCAGGTCTCTCCTGCCTGCAGCCTGTTCTGCTTCACTTGCCAGTGTGTCGTAGAAGTGTCTTTTGTCTTTGCGTGCATTCCGAACTGACAAATAGTGTCTAGTAATCTCTACTCACTGTCAAACTATTAACTTTATGATAAAAAGACCCCGTATTGTTTTTAATGTGGTTAATAAATACTCCACTGTAAACGAAGTGAACATACAACTTCACTTGACTGACAGATGAATATTAGTCTTCTCTCAACGCCGATTTTCTGTTCCCTTTATTCAAGAAACCAGACAAATGTCGCTGAATCGTAAGCCTGACCCACGTCTAGATAAGTGTGAATTACAATTTATACATTATTACTGTGATGTCGACGAGGAGGTAAAAAGCCAACTCAGTAAAGTGTTTGTTAAAGTTTCAGAATTACGATTATAAATGCAACAGTTATTTTAATTAGAGTTAAGTGTCTATAAAAGAGGTGAATAGTGTTACAGATTAGAATATACTATGCTGTTCCCTTTTTAAATGAACTTGTGAAATCATGTTTTTCTACCTAGTTAATTCTTTATACTTGAGAACTGATCTACTAATGATTTTGACTACGTGAACTGGCTACAATGTAATATCATAGTTGCATTAGTCTTAGATGTATTCATTTGAGTATCTCATAACAATAATGATCGTTTTTATACTGGGTGATGAATAAACGTGAAATGGAAATTCGGATCGCGGCCAGATTCGTTCCAGTGACCGCGTGCACAAAGTCTTATGCACTTGCTCTTGGCTTTGCTTGAGGATCAACACGCGGAGAGTTTTGTTTGAGGAGGATGCTGGTCATCTGATGAGATAAATCTTGATGGATGTTTCTATGAGTTAAGATTTTCATTCACAACAGTTTCATTTAGAAATGTTTAGAGGTACACCAGTAGTTCTGTTGATATTCCCCAAAGGTCTACACAATACAGCATAGTCTTTCTTCAGCAACCCAGGAAAGAATAAGGAGGAACAATAAAGGAGAATAGATAAGATGTAGGAGTCGATTACACACATAAGAAGAGAACGAGCTATACCAGATACTCTCAACTTCCCAATATAGAAAGTTACGCAGAAGGATCTTCTAGAAATTAGTAAGATATGGAAGAACTAGGAAAGGTTCGAGGATAAACACACTCCAAGGCAAATCAGAGTTGTCATATTATCTAAAAAACAACCATCAATGGAACAGGAGTCAGCATGAAACTTAACAGCTTACACAGGTCACGTTCACGTCTTAAACTAAAGTTTATAATCTGACATTTTGAGGAACTAAGCACAAGACCAATTATGGAAGACCATCATCATGTGGTGTATAGAAAATGGTTTATTTGAGAACAATCTGTTAAAAAGAAGAAAGGCATGGAAGCTATCAGTTCATCAGCATATTAGCTGAAGATAGTGGATCAAGCAGAAGCTAAAATAAAAGTCCAACGGAAAAAGACGGGAACACTAGCCTCTGTAAGCAATGAAGTGAAGCACTTCCCTTGTTCAACAGTATATTATTTCCTTTCAGAGAAATAGGATTACTGCCTGAAACATAATCAAATGCTAAAACATAGTCTGAAAAGTCACAACTGATACAATTGGCATTTTTATCAAGATTATAAGCCAACATACTTTTAACACAACTGGATTTATAAATGGTATTTTGTTGTTGTTATTGTTGTTGTTGATTAAAGCAGTACAAATTCAACCAGTCAAACCTTTTTGAAATCATACAACTACTACAAATGACAACTTAGTGAAGAAAAGCACATTATTTTTCAATTATTGTTTTAATGATTGACTTATTAAGAAATGAATTGAAAAAAGAAAAAAAAACAATACAGAAAAACATAACTTACGGCAATATCATAAAGTGTTAGAATTCCATTCTTTTGAACAACACATAGTAGTCCAAAATGTCTTGATTTTCTATTCTCAAATATATCTATTGGATACATTGGAAATATATGAACTACACAACTTGATGAAGAGATGGCATGATTCATAAATTCAATTAAACAATTATGCGTCTAATATAGAATAGAAAATAAAATTATAAGAGAGAATAATTAAATAAATAAAAAGGAATGAATTACTTCTAAGGTGATAGATTTCATAATTCAATGAAAAATCTTATTCTATAATAGTGTAGTCTGTAAATAACCTCGTATGGTTAACTAGTCCACTAGTTACTAGCCGGTCCTAAGCCCACATAAAGAGGGAAAGTTGGGCATACCGCTAGCAACCCTACCCGTAAAACAAATCTAACCACTAAACAAACTTCAAAGCACAAACGAAATATAAAAAATAAAAACAGAATTATTCCTCGCTGGAATCCGAGAGGCGAAATGACGCCAGTTGGTGAAAGCCTTCGGGAAGCCAATTGGCCGATGTGTCTTCTCTCTATGAAAGCGAAAGTAAACGAGGGGACATGGAATGTCCGTACGATGTTTGAACCCAGCAAGGCAGCCCAGATTGCAAAAGAGATGAGAAGCCGTCGTGGAACCAGGTTCAAAAGATCTCAAAGAACAGAGGTCACTGGAGACGTGCTACTGAAGCCCTATGTTCCACTAGGAACCCAAGGGACTAATAAAATAATAATATAATAATAATAATCTGTAAATAATTTACGATGATAAAATGATATTTCATTTGCCTTACACGAAAATAAAGTTAAAAATTTCACTTGAGGTGAGATTTCATGTTTTTTATTGATTTTTAGAACTAAAGTAAAATTGGTTAATGAATATGTATGTATGCGTGTTTCAAGTAACTTTTATCTGTAATATACTAAAGTAAAACGTTTTATAACAGAAATGTGTAATATGCTGTTTATCATTTTGACTGTAAGATATTTAGATTTAATTTCTGATGAAATACTGTTTCAATCATGCGTTTGGCTTACAAGCAGCTTGGTGATTGAACGTAATTTAGAGAATGAGTATTTGAAAGGTTAATTCTACTTTCATTCAAGACTTCAAAAGGACGCATATTCAAAACTCTACAACTTGATTAAACACAAAAAATTTAGTTCTTCTTCTAATCACAGATATTGGTCAGCTGACGATCAATAAGTAGCGTAATATCAATATTCTTTAATATTATCAAAGAGTTTTAGTTCCAACTCTTTAATTACCTAAATAGTCATAGTTTGATCAACAACATTTTCAATGATATTAAGTACCTAATGGAGATGAGTCAAACAACCAACTATCATTCCTGAATGTTCTAGTCAGTAGAACAAATGCCAGAAAGCTGGAAACCCAAGTGTAAAGGAAGCTAACATACACTGATTAAATTCTCAACAACAGTAGCAACAATACAACAACGTATAAACTCTATTCAAAAGAGCGAGAACACACTGCAGTACAACAACTTCACGAAGAGATGAAGAAAACTACTTGATGTTCATCTTAAAGAAGAACAGCTATCCACGAAACTTTATCAGAAGATACCTATCACGTACATCATCAACTACAAAGTAATCAACAGAAAACAATAAATGCATCATCCTACCGTACATAAAGATTATATCAGAAATCACGACAAGATTACTGAGACCAACAGGTGGAATTAGTGTGGCTCATAAACCAACAAATTCCTTCCAAACACCGTTATGCAGACCAAAATGACAAAAGAACCGAAGAAGACAAACCAAATATCATTTACAAAATCAACTGCAATAACTGTAGTCAACACTACATTGGACAAAATGATCTCTATCTTCGCCTCCGTCATTTACATGAATACCAATTGGCTATTAAACCTCACGACATTTCATCACTCATTTCAATTCACGTAGATAATTATGGACATGAATTGTATTTTGACAATGTAGAAATCTTGAAAGGAGGAAACACAAAGAATTTCAGAGAATTCCTGGAAGCTTGGCATTCAGGTCATTCAGTCAGCAATCAACAGATGCATAGACATAGACCGAATCTATCAACCAATTAGAAAAGGGATAAAGAATAGAAAAGTGAGAGATCAAGCAGAGGAACTGCAGACAGGAAGATATATGCAGTCGACAACACAACAATCAAAGGAAACAACTAATCACAAACCAGTTCCTCAGGTCAAGCTACTAGATCATTTACGGAGAGATAATGACAGCTCACTTCATACTGAAGTTAGTGCTGATGACATCGTCTAGAAACACAATGAAAACTACTCGATTAAACAACCCAGCCCAGAAGACACAATACAATCAAGACCCACCGCTTGAGCTACAAATATTCTCCACCATTGCAAAGATGACAAATTCACTAAATGAAACTTATCAACAAGTTTTAAAAAAGGTATTTATGACATGTAATCAAGTGTGTTCCTGTCTAGAGGTGAATTACACAGAAGTGATTTGTTTCACCGTAGTTTCATCATGATTTGACACTTCATTGGATACTTACGCTGAAGCGTCTTTCTGGAAACTGACATATTTTCAAGAACACTGATGAAATGATTGATTACCGGAATATTATTATTTTATTATTTGTCCCTTGGGTTCCTAGTGGAAAATACGGCTTCTGTAGCACCTCACCATTCCACTCTGCACTCTCTCTGCAACCTTTTGAACCTGTCATCACCACTAACCACAAGCACTTATTTCTTCCACACACCATCTCCTCCACGTCACCGTCGCCTCAAACGTCCAACTCGTCGTTTCCCATCTAGGTTCGACTCGAGAGACTGGCCTGGCTCATGATGTCCCCGAACGATCTTCTCAGTGCATACCCAATCCATCTCCATTTCCTTCTGCATATTTGTAGAGCGACAGGTTGTCGGTTGGTTCGTTCCTAGAGTTCCTAATTCCTTGCTTATTCTTTCTGGAAATCTGAGCTTCAGTAACCAGCGTAGGCAGTTGTTGATGCATATCTGTAGTTTGTTGGAAATCCTTTTTGTGACGCGTCAAGTCTCTGAACCATATAGAGGCACTGACTTGACACTGGTGTTGAATATCCGGATGTTCTTCTTTGTGCTGAGTGCAGTGCAGTAGATCTCCACACTGGTTTCAGATTGATGAACACCTGTCTTGCTTTTCCGATTCTGGCTTTGATATCGTCATCCGTGCCACCTAAATTCGAAACGATGCTGCACAGCTAGGTAGGTGAGAGAGACTACTTCCTTAAAAATTTCTACCGTTCATGGTGATCGTTGCTTGTTGTTGTTGTTGGTGGCGGGTGGCGTTGGTTGGGTATCTTCATCACCTCTGTCTTCTCTAAATTCACTTGAAGTCCTGTCCTTGCTGCCCTGCCACTTCTGTCAACTTGTTAGTTTTCGCCCGTAGATCTTCAGGTTTATGTGATATTAGAGACACAAGTCATCTGCGAAATCCAAATTTCCTAGGATCTTTTCCTCAGTCCAGCTAGCGTATCCTCCTCGTTTCTCTCCTCACAGTTGTCTGCTGCATGATCCAGTCCAGCACAATCAGGAAGAACATCGGTGATAATTGTAGCCTTGCCTCACTCCTTCCTGTCTTTACTTCAAAGGCATCACTGAGTTCTCCATTGTAAATCACTTCGCATGTGGCGTCTTCATATAGCTGTTAAATGAAACTGCTGAAGGCTCGTTGCACTAAAACCGTAGTGTTGAAGCAGCAGATGGCAAATTACTTCCCTGTCGATGCCGTCGAAGGCTTCTCCAAAGTCTATGAAGTTGAGGTTGAGGTGGAGAGTTGACTGCCATTTTTATGCTCTGTTCTATGATGATGCGTAGCTTAGGGTTGAAATTTTATCCACACATGATTTGTTCTTCCTGAAGTTAACCAGCCTGTTCCGGTTGCAATTTTGAATCCAGAGCATTTTTCAGCCCCTGCAGTATGATGAGGCATAATATTTTGCTTGCAGTGGACGGGCACAGGAGCACGATTCCACGCCAGTTTACTGGGATATGGGTAGTGTTTTTATTGGCAGTTTCGTGTTTACTCATAGATTTCTATGTTCGTGAAAACTTAGTATGGTATAACCAGATGGTGAAATTAAATTAAAATTTACGCAGACAATACAATTGTTTGTTCTTCATCATTGACAAATATTCCCTTTTTTTCAGCTGCATAAAACATGTAAAAGATATAACAGTATGGCTTATACATACGATATTAATTGCAGATAATACTCTGTATTTTTGAATGAAGGCTAGGAATCTTTTGAGTTATAAGTTGAAACAGTCTAGATATACGTAGTCTGAAGACCTGGTGAAGTCTTGGTATCCTATCTGTATGAATGTAGAATTTACATCATACAACATTCACAAACGTAATAAGCTGCCTTGTAAGTCATAATTAAGATGAAACAAGTGATTTGTTAAAGATTTAGAAAAAGGAATAAAACTAGTTCTTGGTTAAAATTTCGTTGAAACAATTAGTCTTATCTTCTAGTGATACTTGTAACTTCCTGTTGCTGTACAGGACCGAATTGCTCGACCTTTGTTGGCTGATGGGCTCCTATGTGGATGTCTCTATACTGCTGGATATTCATGTTATATTTATCTTGGTGACTGGCAGAAGAATCCAAGATGCGCATTTTGTCCTATTTGGGATTCGTCAGCTATATGTACATGCACCATAATTAGTGATGTTGTTCCCCCTGAGGTTCGAGTCCCATACCTTTTGCTGCAAACGGCAAAGCTTTATCCACCAAGCCTACTAAATCCCTTCTGTGAATTTGAGTAACGTAATTAGAAGATATAGTTTATCTATCTGAATAATTCAATGTATTTGCGCTATACATTTCGAACAATCTGGTCATACATTTGCCCGTCAAGGTATTTTATATGGAATAGGGAACTATGATAATAATGAGTATAATGATAAGAAAGATAATGAAGAGAGGAAAATACAGATTTCGATAACAAACGTGGTAACAGGACTGAGTAAACATTATCAGGATAGGCTTAGAGTTAGGACAAATCGTTTTCGAACAGAAAAAGTTAAGGCTGAAATTTGTGTATAGGGTTAGCGCTTCAGTAAACCTAAGTATACTCTACTACTATAATATTGCAAAGGCTATTTCAGTACCAATCTTGTAACACTTAT